AATCCTTAACGATAGTTATTGTCTATTTACAAGCGTCGTTAATCGCGTACGACGGTTTGGCGAGTGTTATCGGAAAGGGTTAACCACGCGTTCTCCGCACCCCCCCTGTTTATATACAACTCTCCTGTACACGCAGACTCCTCGTATAGATATCATGATTGCGATGCACCGGCAGCGTGCTGGGCCGTAACGGGCTCAGACTCTTCTCGCCCTTCTCCACGTAGCCGTTTGGATAGATCCAGGAGTCCTTGGCGTGTAGCACCGACGCGGGCGACGGATAATCGAGATCCTCGAGGCACCTGAAGTCCTTCGCCCGCTCGGACGGCCTGCCGGACACGTAGCCTGGCTCGAAGATGTCCGGCCGTCTCTCGACGGCCTTGCTTGGTATTACGTCCGGATCGTCGTCCGGCAGTTCCGCGTTTATCTGCTCCTTGAATTCGTCCCGATGTGCCTCGCCCGTCACCGGCGGCACCGCCAAGCGATCCTCCTTGCTCTCGTAATGCGCTGGCTGCTCCGTCGCCGTCTGCGTCTTCGTCCCCCGATTCGTCGGATGATTGCGACGGTACAGGGTCAGCGTTATCCCGACGATCAGAATACAAATGGCGGTTACACCGCCGGCGAAGCACGCCACCAGGAGGCTGTAATCGGTCGTCTCGTCCGAGATCCCGCGACCTAGAGAACAAGCGTGAAACGTGACTCGCGTGGGAGGATCCGTTGTTACCGGGCGTTTATTGTCCCGATCTTTGAATGAATATATATTTATAGGGAATGAATTGTATACTTATAGTGTGTATTGCGTTCGCAAAAGTAGGTTTCAAGTATCGAAACGTGAGAGAATTGCCGCAATCTGAATGAAATTAAATTTTTTTCTTCCAATAATATATGCTCAATATCGAAAAAAGAAAAAAAGAGGATTCTGCTATCGTGGCAAAAACGATGCTACTATTGCATATTCGATGCGAAAGCGACCGAATTTCACTGCTATAACCAATTATTCGATATTACAGTAAAATCTGATAAAAGATAAAATAGAAAAATTTTACCGAGTAAATTCACTCGTAAAAACACGAATTTGCTGTAAAGAAAATTTAATTTACTATTAAAGGGAAATTTTATTTTCAGTAATTTTTTTGCTATAGATGAAATAAGAATAATTTAGCGAAAAATCGCAAAATAAGAATCAATATACCGAAGTAATTGGTGAGTTTCATATAATTACTTTTGACAAATAAAATTAGTGTTTTTAACGAGTATTCCTATTTATGCTCTGTATGATAAACTGCGTCATTAGATTTCTAATTAAAAAACGCGAATACTAATATAACGACGATAAGAATTTTATTGAATTTCCGTCATGGTTGATGCTATCAAATCCCGCGTCGCTTTATTGGTTTATTCGATAGTAACAATACTCGCGAAGATGGATACAGAGCGAGCGTTATTGATCGTGCGAATGTCAAGTTAGTTTTGGACCATCGACAGTGCGCGCACGTCACAATTCGATAATTAAGCGGCAATCAGCCACATCGGATTAGCGCGTAACGATGGGAACGCGCTTGAACGTTTTCTTTCTGAATTCCGCCAAATCGATTCCCATTAAGCGGCAAATTTCGTATCGGCAATTTACGTCGCAAGAGACGTTTTATCTCCGCACGCGCACGATGCATTACAGTTCTTTAACATTACATGAGCTGGAAATCCGTACGATGAGGCGATCATCGTGCAAATTGCAAGAGATGAAACCGATATAATCTTGATGGATTCGACTTTTAGTGCTTCGGTTATAGCAAGAAAAATTGAAAAATTCAGAAACCAAGAAAATATCTTACACGAATTGTTACGTTCTCATTACTTTCCGATATCCATAATCTATCGAATTCCGAATTATTGCGAATATGATTTTTAATTGTTCGGTTAACTTTAGTGCTGCTCATCAAAGAAAGTCAACTGTAGCGCAGAGAACGTGTGATTTCCTAACGTGTATTTCGCGCATTCTCGACCGGCAAAGAACATTCGTCCTCATCAGGATGGACGTCCGAACTGATGACGACATCAACAGTGTTCGCCCCGACGTGTCCGGTAAACGAGATTTGCTTTTTCCGTGTACTTATTGGATCACGGGGGAAGCGTAGCTTCCGGGAGCAAAGATTAAGAGAAAGGCGTGGAGGATCGCGGACAGAGATGGCCAGGCTCTTTGGAATTCAGAAAACGCCTCGGTTCGTTAGCCAACGAACAGTCTCTCACTACCGGCCGTGTATATACGTGTATATACGTGTACATACGTACACACACACATATAGATGTATACACCGTGACGCGCATACGCTCGCACGAACGTGCACAATAGCAAGTAGAAGCGGACACGCGAGCGCGGTTGTCCAGATCCGTCATCCGAGAATCTGGCAAAGTCCTTAGCTTCCCCGCAAGCACGATCGTTTGCCCATTGCTGTACCGATAAGAGAGGATGTTTGCCACCCACCGCGAGAATAGGGAGAGTGCTGCTGCTTGGCGCAAGGTTTGGTAGTGTTCGAGGGACTCCGAGCGATTCCCGATACGCGGTGGTGCCGCGTGCGCGGCCGGGATTCGGGATGAGGCCGGGATGGCGGGCACACGCATCCACACGCGTGTATTCACGGACGCGGCACGGCTGTATATGTACAGCTGTACATTCACGTTACCGCGCGGCGGAATCGTGCGCGGGCCGGCATGAATAACACATGAGGATGGAAATTAAAGACGATAAATGCAGCCGGAATGAGGCAACGACGAGGAAAGGGACTTGGACTTTATGGGATTTTAATTCAAGGTCCGCGGTTAGTGGAAGATACGTAGAAAAGTATTGCGGTGTGACCGACGTCTTCTTAAAAGAGAGACGCCGAACTCGTATAATCGCGCCGAGGAGTTTCGAGCGGAAAAATCTCTCTCGGTTGCTGACGTCGACGCGCGACTTTGCGTCACTCTTTCTCGTCGGTGTAGATTAATATTTGATCGATTCTGTGTCACGCGCTCGACGGCAGAAATGTCGCGGCGAGCCTCGATTCCGACCGCGCCGAAATAGATTTAATCGACAGCGGAATTTGAAAGTCTATCGCTGAGAGATCAGTAACCGGATTGGTGAAACGTTTGTTGAATATTGTAAAGGTGTCACCGTCGCGAGAATCACATAAATCGTACGATTTAATATTTTATCGCATGTCATAATGGCGAAATCGGCGAGAATTGTATTAATTTGGAGATTAATTCGGATTTGTGTGTCGCTGGATAGTTTTTTTCAAGAATAAAAGTAGAAAGAAAATTAATAGCAAGCAAGAATGTAAAAAAGGGAACTTCTGTAAAGAAGAAATGCGAGGAGACACGTTGAAAGCAAAAAGCGAGTTTCTTCGACGCAAAACAAGTATGCCGAAGATCTAAATGCGCGCGTAACTGCGTCGAAAATAAACAGAAGCGCTTACGACGCGCCGGCGTGTATACTTAACCCCGTCGCGTAATTCGGTCCAATTAAGAGCCCAGTCGAACGCTTCGAAGTTCTTTCCACGGTGGTCGTTAGCGCTTATTAACCCACCTTATTATTTTGCCTCTAACGTTAAGATTGCGTAATGAAGGTACTAGGTTTAATCATGCCGGGCAAACACTATCGACGTAATACAATCTACATATATTAAGACCAATAACGATAACCGGAAATTACAGCCGTGCGAGATAGCGAAGATATTTCTAGAATAAACTCCAAGATGTTTCATAATCTCCGGTTTCTTCGCCGGCACGCCGTAAAATTTGTCGATAAAAGTTTATTCGCTCACCGCGCGATGAACAATCACTTAACCGGCCCGACTGCACCTAAGTAATTGGCGTAGGTACACGCTCGCCTGGCGGAGCGCGCCGCATCGCGGAAATTGCGACTCCGGACGCACTCCGGGAGCAGTAATATCGTCGGAATCTCGAACCCGATGCAAACCAGTATACAAAACTCACCAGTGGTGTACATCGCCACTCCTTTGAGCGTGACCGGTTCCAAGACGACGGGATCGCTGCGACCCTTGGCGTTAACCGCGTAAAGATGCAGCCTGTAATTCCGTCCGGGCTCCAAGCCGGGAACTTCGAAAACTGGACCGGATAAGCCGGATCGGTCGGTGTGATTCAGGTAGATGGTATTGACATGATAAACGTTCTCCTCACTGTAGACCTCCAGCTCGTAATTAGTCAAGGGCAAACCACCGTCGAATCCCTCGGAGCACCTGACGATCAGCCAGTCCGCGTCCCTCGCGTCCGTCGCTTTAAAGTCTTCGTGACCTGTTTCACACGAACGCACACATTTCGCGACGGTTAAGCTCCCGCTCGAAGGAAGAAAAACACACGGACTCGCCGTGGACCTAATTGCTTCCCGACGCGAGCGTCGTTGTGGCAAAGTACACTCGATTAGGGGCGACGGCGAGAGGGGGCAGGGGAGAGGTCAGTCCGAATTAATTGGATAATAGTCTCGGCTAGACTTGCGTCAAACTAACTATACGGTGTATATACCGAGGGACTGTAATTAGTTATGCCGATCGAGAATTACAATTCTAACTAGCTACAAACTAGCTAACTAGCCATTCGGCTCAATTCGCCGTAATGTTTCGATCGTGAATCTGAAGGCGGTATTTGAAGGGTGATTTTTAAAATAAATTTCGCTCGAAATTCGCGCTTTATTAAAAACTCGATATTAATCGCAGTTTAATTAAACTCCGGATACAAACAAGATAATTGCTGCTGCGAGAATATACACAAAATATTATTTCAAAAATTCTATTACTAATTTCGCTGCAAAATATCGCGTCAGTGTTTAAATTATTGCAAAAAGAAAATTATTTGATTAATCGACACACCGATCCTCCAATTTCACCAACTATTTTCACGGCGATCGCGTCTCTCGAGGGGAAACAAGAAAACAAGCTGTGAAGCACAATAAGGGTATCGGCCATAAGGCGTCGTCTACGATGATAGCTGAGGGCGTAATGGCGCAGTTAGATCGCTGAGAGGGTTTCAGGACCCTCCACTTACCCATTCGATACGCATAGGGTCCAGTTGACTGTAAGGCCGTACAGTTTTGCAAGGGGTAAGGCTTCCCGGCGACGATAATCTGAAAGAGACAGGGCGTCCTCTGCTTCCCTATCCGATTTCTCGCCCAGCAGGCGACGGTGCCGTAGTCCATGTCGTTCTCCGGCGTATAATTCAGTCTGGAGCCGTGCCAGTGGCTCGTGATCAGGCTGAGCGGCTTGACCTGCGCGAATCTGGTGGCCGGCACGCTCATCAGCTCGCCAGAGTTGTTGAAGCTCCAGTAGAAAGTTGTGGGCGGCGGTTTTGACTGCACGCCGCAGACCAGCGAGATCGTTTCGTGCTTCAGGGCGCCAACCACTTGGGTGGAAGAGCCGTCCTTGCAGATCGGTGCGTCTGAAAATACGAGGGCGCCGGCTGGGCTAGAATTCAATTTACAGCGCGGCGCACGCTGCGGTAATCTTGCGGATGCCTTTTCGGGAGAAAAATAAGGGCGGCGTTAAACCGCCGTCGGTTTTCGATTCCCGTTCCTCACAGCGGACGCCGATAATTGACGCTTCTATGTAAACGCGGTTTACCGGTGCCGGTAATATCGGCCATGTTGCGATAGGAAGGCGAATATATTAATAAAATTAGAATAATGGCGTTGTTATATTAGGAGAATCCAAACGATGAATTAAAAGCACTTCTACTGGATTCGAATCACTCGGATATCGATTGGAATATAAACGGGATGTACTCACACATTACTTCAAGAGTCACGGGTCTGCTGGTGGATCTTCCTTCAGTGTTGACTGCCATGCAGGAATATTCCCCGGCAGAGGCTTTCGTTACACTCTGCAATACTAATGAGTGCTCGCCGGGTAGAATAATCCCCGCGGTCGCATTCTGATGCAACTCCTTACCGTCTTTAAACCAAAGTCGCTTGTAGGACTCTGGATTCGCGTGTACGTCGCACTCAAAGTAAACGTCGTCGCCCTCGTTTATATCGTTCGCCTTCAAATTGGAACCCAGCTTAATGCTCACCACCGGTGCGTCTGAAAGCGTGGGTAGCGAGAAATATCCTCTCAATTCTTACAATTTCGCACGCGACCGCAAATATAAAATCACCGTTAATTAGTGCGGAAAATAAAAAAATTTAAGACGTAAATTGAATTTACTTCCGGACTGTAATAGAAATCTTGAAAATTGCAATTCAAAGTAATGACGCGTGAGATGAGCGGAGAAAATGACTTACAGTACACCTGCAAGTGCCATCTGTCCTCCAAGGCACTGTTAGGCACCACGGGATTTTCCGCTCTGCATGTTAGAAATTTCCCATCGTCCTCGATGGTCGGCACGTAGCTCAGCACGCTTCTCGTGACGTTCGAACTGTCTGCGAACTACGAAGAACTCAGAATCTACGTCATCGCGACACGGACGGGCGCCCCGTACGAATTGAAAACGATAGTCGTCCATTTGCGTAGGAGATACTCACATTTCTAGCCATGTGCTTGACTTGATGAGTTCCTTTCCACCAAGTGATCACCGCCTCTGGCCTGGAACCCGAGCTGATACACTCGATCTCGTAAGTTCTTAACGCCGATAAATGCGATCGCTTACTCGTAATGTTGACTCCCAGAGGCTTCACTGTGATGAGGAATCATTCGATAGTGTGGCATGGAGATTCGTTACGATTTTGTAAAAAAAATATATTACAATATATTTGAACTCAATCCAAAAATTACACTTTATCGATATTTACTAATTTTAACAACAGAATTTAGATAAACATAAATGCGAAAAGTAAATTAATTGCAAATAGAAAACAACAAAAACGTTCACACAATCTTTTTCCAACGAGTTTTTTTCCTAATCAAATTCAATATAGTATAAAAAAAGAGATTAAACAAAAAAAATTTTTATAAAAAGCACTATCATAATTCGTGATTATCTTTGACTATTACTTGCAATTGATATAAATGTCAAGTAATTCGAATACACTCACGGTTCACGTCCAAGATGATCTCAGAGGTCAGGGGTGTCATAAGCTGAGTATTGTTCGCCTTGCAAATTAGCCTCGCCCTCAGGAAGTCCCTGGTGACCTCAGAGATATCCAGCCGATTTATCGTTATATCGTCGTGCTCCTGCGTATACGTGTCGTCTAGGATTTTGCCCTCGAAATACCACATGACCTTTGGCGGAGGCGACCCTCCAATCACCTCGCACAATAGGGACATCTTGCTCCCCTCGTTAAACGGTTGCAGTATTTTGGCCAGGCTCCTGTTGGCGCCGGTATATATCACCGGTTTTTTCGGCGGCACTGCCGGCAAATACAGTTTCAATCGTTCCGTGATATTGTCGCGCGCGATGCCTTCGTTATATCGCATTGTATGCACGATTTATTTCTTTATCGTGTCACAACAAAATTAATTTTGTTTGAAAATTTATAGCCTCACCGCAATACGATAATTATAAGCGTTACACGGCTCTTACATAAGCAGAAATAAAATTTGCATTAAAATTATCTACATCTAAACAACGCTTTTAATTGCAAATTTTCGTGTCGCGTAATCGCGCTTGCAGCGAATAACGGCCTCGCGAAATGAGAATTCAGACATAACGGTCAATTTTTTATTTTTTTTTAAACACACCGATGACCGCAAGTGAAATTAACACCTGTTGAGTCAGTGCTATGACATTCTGTTAATTAATTCAAAATCGTATTAGGTATTACTAACTGAAACTGCATCGATCTTACGAGTAAACGCATAGAGTTACGATGACTCGGTGCTGTTTGTTCTTGCAGTTCGTTGGAACCGATCCAACCGCATCTCCTAACTTCGTAACTTCATTTCGTCTCATAGCTGTATTTCTACCACATGACTCTATCCAATACCCGCCGCGCGGAAGCTTGAGGCCGGCGAATCAAACTATCTCTCCGATTTACTACCGTTTTCCGCGGTTACGCACCGCTCTTGCGTATCCGGCGGATATAATACAAAACGAATAAATCACGAATGAATGGAAGTAGCCAACCATATGCACCGCCTGATTAAAATCTCATAAAGCACAATTCGTTCGCCAACGTCACTCGCTAAGCTACGATTTCGTATCATAAAACGTGACATTCCGTCATAAAAACAAATAATTGAAGTAATAATGAATAATTCATCACAAGGAGACTTTTGGAATTCCGGGCAATGTCAAATTTTTCAATTACTAACTATTATTGGTTTTTTAATTATTAATTGCCTTGCCAGTTTGTAAATGTCGGGTTCAAAATTAAAAAAACAAACAATGCGGCAATCTAAATAAATATTCTAAAATTAGTTTTAAATTACTTCGTCTTTAATTTTTCGCCTTGCTTTACATTATTCTTAATAAATTAATTTTACATTTCAAACTTGTTATCTGCACAAAGGTATTAATTTACGTTTTATAAATTTTATTCAATTTTTAGTTTTTACATGTTTAAACGTCGAAAATGTTTTTGCAATAGTGTTTTACTTTTCTCTTCAATTTCCTGTAGAACCCATTAATTTACTTAGTGAAATCGAATGCGATATCAAATGATTTTAAAAATTCGTTCGAATTCGGCAGAAAATCTTTCACGATTAACAAACATAAACATAGATGTGCAGCTGAGGCTTACCTATGACTATCAGTTTCATTTTCTGATTCTTCGTTGGACTGTTCTTAAAATCCACTCTGCATCTGTATATCCCACCGTCTGTCGACTCCAAAGGATCTATCTCCAGCTCGGCGGGCTTTACGTTCATCCTCATAACCGCCCTTTCACCAAACACATACGGATCCGACCAAAGCTTCGCCTTAGCCATTTGCCTTCCTCGAGCGTCTACGCTGTATATCGGCTCGCCATCCTTTTCGTCTTTGTACCAAAATACCATGATGACCGTCTCGTCCTGAGTCGGCGGATCGATGTCGCAAGGTATCTGAGCTTTGAAACCGGCCACTGCGCTAACATCTAATATAGGCACTGAAAAGCACAAGGAAAGAATATAAGTTATCCTTATTTAAGATTCGCTTTTATATATAGTTTGCTTATAAGTTTTCCACGAATTTTCTCTTTCAATTTACATGGTAATTTAATTAAATTCTTTTCACGAATAACTAATTTCACTCGACAAACTGCTCTTCCGCATTAGTCAAATGAGTTTGCCACGCGCGTTTGAGAGGACACTGTAGTATAATCCTCTCAGGATGCTTATACGATCCTAGCACATTACAGAACATCGACGCGACAATTCACGCGTGTAATGCACCGGCATTTTCACACGAGCCGGGTTCTTGTTGCGTTTCTGCGGCTATGCTAACTAGTTCCGCATCCGGTAACAACACCGGCCCGTTGCCGTACATTTTCTCGACGAGACCGCAAATTTGGAGTTTTAGCCAGTCGCCGTCAGCTCCGATCGAGTTACTGCAAATTGGTCGAACGGCCTCGGTTTCAACCAATCCAGGACCAACATACCGGAGGCACAACGTTTGCACGAGCCGCGTGCGTAGAAACAAAAATTCACGGCACGGCGCGGTGCGCGCTCGCCGATGGGATACACAACCGGGTGAACCCAATTAATCGGTCTACTTGTCGATTTATACCGGCGCGGTCGGCGCCGCCGACCGTGGGCGCGATTTTATTGGCTTTCATAGCCGTCTCATCAATCGTCCTGGCATCTAACACCCGCCCGGTTGACCGCGGTGGTCTCGTTATCCATCCCACTTTGACCTTAGACATAACGAGTGCCGGGAGAATTACCTTTGAAACCGAGCATCGCCGACCGAAGCATTCGATCCGCTGCCGAAGATTAATTGAGCGCGAACACGGCCGACGTGTATCGGTTTTTTTCACTGCGAGAGTCAGCGCCGCGGCGAGAGGAGAAAAACGCAGCTTTGGGTTTAGTCGAGATGTGGGTTTGCATAATTTGAAGTTTATTGAAAGAATTAAATCTGCTCCGACGAGATATCGGAAGAAAAAGAAAACGGAGAGAGGAAAGCTTGGATATTTCATCCGATAAATATTTTAGTCGCGACTTGATCATTATTCACGCATTCGTGTTCCAGTTCGCGATTAATTTTTGATACCGTGCAATTTTTACTGAAAACAGATATTCTGCCACACTATTCTTGCAGTTATTTCTCAAAATAAAATGGGTGTAGAATTTCAGTATTGATAGAATGCAATCGATTATTCTCGCATAACGGTGACCCGAATCTCCTCGCGCATCCTAATTTTGCGCGCTGGATAGCGCAAGCTCTGAGATTCATCACGGACGATGGCAGTGTTAATGATACGATGTAATTAATGCCAGGTGATGAATGGCCGTACGCACGAAGCAACTCGTTAACAACGGCAACGAGCACGCGGCTCCGCTTTCGCACCTTTGCGCTCCACTAATACGTGACTCTGAATATTCACACGATGACATGAGCGCGCGCGCGCATCGCTAAATTATATGCCGGGTGAAATTCGCACGAGACGATAGCGTTATCACAGGCATAAAAATTATGTCACGTGGACGTTTACAGAAAATAAACGAGGCTACATTCCACGTCGTAACGCGAATCACGCCTGAGATATTGTAATTTTCCCTCGGCGTACGTAATTGTGCGCCGAGCGGATTTGCAAAAAATTACCGCGGCGTAAAGTAAAGCAGGTTCAATATTTGGAAATCGTATCTCGCGCGACGTTAACGGCCGGCTTTGCGGACATGAACAGTCGCGAACGTGCCGATTAAACATCACGAAGGGCGGAAGGTGGATCGTTAGTGCCGCAATTAAAATGTTAATAGCACCGGCGCGTCCTATTACCCCGTTAAATCCTCTCATGAACCTCGCAAATTGATGACTTAGACAATGAGCCATCGACGGACTCCGGCACCGGACGCTTATGTATTCCGTATGCGCCACGCCGTATACGCGCGCGTCTCTCCGTCCGTGCGCTCTCCGTTGTGTTATGTCGCGCCCCGCGTGTATATCGCGTTTACTTGAGAGCGTGGCGGATATCCGTTTCTCCGGCAACGCGGCGAACACATACGTATCCGTCGACACGACGATCCCGGAGTAATTATTCAAAGCAAACATGAGCACCGTCGTAGATCGGTAATACATCGTATTACTCGCGCGCCGTGTACACACGCGAATGTAGCACATACGGATTTAAGCGCGCGTTGTACGATGCGCGCGAGAAAAGCGGACGCGAAGTAGCGTGCTGATTGGCGAATGAATCGAAATTATTGACGTCATCCTGACAACCCGGCAACGAATTTCGCGCAATCGTCGATATTGCGACGCGCGCCCATTATTGTCCAATTGCTCTAATAAAAAAATCATCGATTCGACAAAACCGGAATGAACCGAGATGCGACAGTGTTGAGATAGCGGCCCTTTATTTTCCTCGAAATGACAATCCACGTTGATTTCTCTTTTTTGCGTTTATCTTATAATGTTTTATGTTTTGACCAACTATTTTTTCTTTCCTTGTTTTTTATTGTAATGCGCGAATCCAATTTATGCCGCGATTAACTTGAGAATGTGAGTCTTGTAATTTGAACAAAGCGCATCGCCTGTAAACATCGCAGATGCAAACGTGAAAGCGACTTCTTTTCTGTAGACTCAGGCGTCGTGGGCAAACTGACTGCTCCGCAAACGTAAAAGGTGGAAGCTGGCACACCGGGAAACGATAAAAAGAAAGTAAGTGGATAAGCGATTCAAGGACGAACTGGCGCGAGTCGTGGAAATTGTACTTCGCATATTTTCATATATTCACGCCGGATATGGGAGAATGGAGAATAGTCGAATTGAATTTCCGGCATTTCGGACGATATTGGCTGCCGATAGAAATAGAACGTACATCTTGGAATTCGATAAAGGAGTCAAGAATTACCGAGTTAAAGCCATTAATCTTCAAACTAACAATCGCCATTGCGTATTCTTCCGAATCCATAAGGAACAAATGGTCGGTACTTTCGCGCACGAGCACCGCACTATCGCGCAAACACAAAGTGCAACTTTCCTGCCAAGGTAAAGAATGCACTGGGAAAACTTTGACAAAATGCTCTTTACGTACTTTCTCAGCCGCCGCGAAAAGAGGAAAAGATCGAAAATAGGACGTTGAATGAATATGCCATTTATCAATAGCGAATCGTCGGTTACCACGTTTTATTTCCTTCAGCTCATCGTTAGCTTTATTCGATCTTTGTGTCTAAACAATAACGTAAGCGTGCAACGCAAACTTTATTACGAAGAGAAAAATCCGAAAATTTCACTCATTTATGATTCTGAGGATTCCGAACAAACAAATTTTCAAGAATTAATCCATCAGTTTTTGACATCTCTTTCACTTTTGCAATTAAATAACTTTTTTAACAGAATAAATTATAACGAGTTTTTTTAGGCTTTTATAAATTATAAACTTCACCTCTCTGCATTCTGTAATAAATTCAACATTTCATTTTAACAGCTCGGTAATAATATTAAAAAATTTTACGTCATAGTATAAATTAAATAATAATAAGGGAATATTTTCATATTCTAGAAATATACGATAAAATTATTACGAATATTCACGTCGTAAATAGTTTGACGTTCGAGCTGTCAAAATGAAACGTTATCTCAAGTATAACTCCTGAATTATAAAAGGCAAGTCGTGATCTCGTTTATCTGATGGACAGTCGAGGATGTCCCTAAAGAGAGCTAAGTAATTTCTCTTGTATACACGGCACACATATTTTTCCATTTACAACTTCATCAGGGCGACGAATTTGCGCGGATAGCGGGTGTTCACGTGCGATGTTTCAAAGTCATTAAGAAACCATAAATTTCGCTTGTCCCGTAACGATTATTATCGCCGGCCTGTTTAACTTCGTAACGTCGGTAACTCGTCCGGAGCTTCGCGTGTAAACACCAGCGGTGTACAAACGTGGTGCCGGCTTCTTTACCGCCGCATCCAGGAAAGCGGCGTCACGCCGTCTCCGAAACCGCCGACTGAACAAACACGCGCCGGTATGACAAGGAGGGTAAACCGGGAGAGAGAAAGAGGGACACGAAGACGGATGTACACAAGCGCACGCACAGGGAGTGAGAGAGAGAGAGAGAGAGAGAGAGAGAGAGAGAGAGAGAGAGA